GAATTTTACCGAATATGACTCTAGGATATCATATGTACGATTCATGTGCTCACAGTAGGAAAGCTGTAAAAAGCATCTTACAGATCTTATCTGGACCAAGAGAGACGGTGCCGAATTATTCCTGTAGGGAACATGGCAAGTTAATTGGTTTTATTGGGGACCACAACTCTGTAACCACAGTGAGCATAGCCCAGATACTGGCTCTGTATAGATACACTCAGGTATGGAAAATGTATTTTAAAATTGTTGTTTGATATTATCTAAAAAGGGATTCAAAACTTGGTTGAAGAGAACTGCATAGAATAATGTAAGTGTGCAAGAACAAGTGTTAATAATAAATCATTTCAGGTTAATAAAATGGAAGAACTAAAACATTTAATAATAAGTAACAAGTACTACTGTACATTTAACTACTGTATATGCATTAATGTACTGGGTAGGATTAAATATTTTGGGTCCTCCTTGATCTAAAGGGACTTCCATATTTGTTAATTTCACGCCAGACCCCCACATTTTTTGGGGGGAACATGATGTGGGGATGAAGCCTTTATCCCCATCAATATGGGCAAATGATGCCTTGCAGGTATGACACCTAACTTCTCAGGTACCTTCCCAACTTTGAGGGTATTTGTCCCTATGTAGATTCAGAGGGGGGCTCATTCACTGTCCCCACATCCATGGCCACCCAGGCTGTATGCCTGGATAACAGTCTGATATGAATTTGTATGGGAAAAATGCTCTCAAAAAATGCTCTCAATAAGGAAATGTTGTCTGTAAAGGGGGAGGGTGGTCAGCATGCCCATTAATGGCTGTGAACTGAGCCTTCATCAAATGGCAGTGTTATTCCCAGAGCCACAGCATGGTAAACTCTGCCCTCTTTCAGGAATTTGCAGCCTGTGTTGTACTGCAGTGGCAGGTTCACAGCCACCATTTCTTTGTCCATAAGGCCATTCCTGTCCTTCACCATCATGTGGAGGGCAATGTTTCCACACTGCTGACCATGCATGCAGTCAGCTGCAGGTTCCACATGACCACAGACATGTGGTTCAGTAAGTATGAGGAGGGCTGATATTTATCATTTATGGCCCACTAGATGACTCTGCTGACAACTGGGAAAGATGCAGGACAGGGCACACCACTAGAACTTGTTCAGCCAGCCCACATTCTTACAGCTGCTGGTGACAGCGCCAGAAAGATATCCCCGTCACCTCCTACTACTCCTTCTCCTCAATTCTTTCTTCTACTTAGTCATCCTTTGATGCAGTAGCCCACTTAAGCATTTAAGGGCTATTCTATGGCTCAGGCTAAAAGATGCCATGTATTGCTGCAGCTGGTATGCCTAGGGGACAGGAGCCACACTATGGCAGAGTCTTTCAGCTCTCCAGGGGCAGGCCCACAGGTGGTTAACCCACAGCAACATCTTCAAGAAAATGGTAGTGGGCATCAATTGCACCAACTTTCTGGCCACCCTCCAGCAGGGAAAGTTGACACATGTGCCTTGTCTGGCAGAAGTTCTTAATATGGTGGTACAGTTGTTCGTGGATAGGTACCCAGGGTTACATGATTGTCTGATCTTGTAATCTTGGGTTACAAGAAGAAATTGTGGCCACTTCAGGTGGACCTTCCCAGCCAGTGCTTAGCTGGGTGAAAAATCAGTGGGAATTACATCTGTCTATAAACCACCTAATCCTTGATATGCACTTGCAACAGAGAGCCATCAACTAGTATCTGTGTGCATATGGCACAACATCAGGCTTGGGGGAGTTAGACATCCCAGGGTCCACTCTTTCCAGAAACTGTACCTGTGAGGCCACAGCAAGCACAAGAGAAGGAAAAGGAAGAACATGACAGCTGTGGGAAGCTGGGGCACTCTTCCAGGGCTGGGTTTCATGCCTCCCAAACCCCAAGAGTGGTATGTGCCTGGAGGGGAATCACACTCAATGACCACAAGGATGTGAGTTCATCTGCTTCTGGTAATTTGCAGTGCATGGGTTTCCTCATGCCCCAGAGCCTATGAAAGGACCTTATGATTTGTGGTATTAAGGAGAGGAACTATATTGGTCCCTCCTTGATCCATGTTACAAAGGGAAAGTCACAGAGCCTGCCTGATCTATATCTCCAAATTGTTATTCTTCACAGCACCTTGTTAGTTGTGTCGCTAAGCTGTATGCTTTTTCCATCCTGAGTTTAATTGTTTATTTCCTGATGCTAAATGCCTGCTCAGTCTCTCTGAAATTGTACCTGTTCAAACAGGCTATCTAGCTGTGTTACAAACCTCTATGCTATTTCTATTGGCTCTTTCCAAAAGGAACAGGCTTCCAAGCTGTGGTGCAAGACTATATGCTACTTCCATTATTGATGGTAAAAGGGTGCTATTGTTTTACAGATGCTAAACGTCTGCTCAGTTTCTAAGAAATTCTGGCCTGTTCAAAGCTTTCTAGCTGTTGTTCAAATCTGTATGCTAGTTTTTCCATCTTTGGTGTCCAAACAAGACATTTTGTTTTTGCGAAGATAAATGCCTGATCAATCTCTCCAATATTGAAAAAAGCTTTCTAGCTGTGGTGCAAACCCGTATGCTATTTCCATTATCAGAGTCAAAAAGACATTATTTATTCAGATGCTACATGCCTGCTAAATGTCTCAGAAATTGTGGCTTGTTAAAAAAGGCTTGCTAGCTGTGGTGCCAACTTGCATGCTATTACCATCTTCGGTGTCTAAAAAAGAGACTAATATTTATTTTTTTTATGAATGTTAAATGCCTGCTCAATCTCTCAGAAATTGAGGCCTGTTCAGCTGTTTAGCCTGTCCAGCTGTGGTGCAAACCCGCTATGCTCTTTCCATCATTGGTGTTCAAAAAAGAAATTATTTTTTATGCTAAATGTTTGCTCAAGCTGTTACAAAGCTGTTTTAAGTTGTCATTCAAAGATGTATGCTATTTCCATCAGTGGTGTAAAATAAATACAAAAAATAAATATAAAAAAGTGGGGCAAAAAAGTATTTAGTCAGCCACCAATTGTGCAAGATGAGAGAGGCCTGTAATTGCCATCATAAGTAGACCTCAACTATGAGAGACAAAATGAGAAAAAAAATCCAGACAATCACATTGGCTGATTTGGAAAGAATTTATTTGCAAATTATGGTGGAAAATAAGTATTTGGTCACCTACAAACAAGCAAGATTTCTGGCTCTCACAGACCTGTACCTTCTTCTTTAAGAGGCTCCTCTGTCCTGCACTCATTTCCTGTATCAATGGCACCTGTTTGAACTTGTTATCAGTATAAAAGACACCTGTCCACAACCTCAAACAGTCATACTCCAAACTCCACTATGGTGAAGAGCAAAGAGCTGTCGAAGGACACCAGAAACAAAACTGTAGACCTGCACCAGGCTGGGAAGACTGAATCTGTAATAGGCAAGCAGCTTGGTGTGAACAAATCAACTGTGGAAGCAATAATTAGAAAATGGAAGACATACAAGACCACTGATAATCTCCCTCGATCTGGGGCTCCACGCAAGATCTCACCCTGTGGGGTCAAAATGATCACAAAAATGGTGAGCAAAAATCCCAGGACCACACGGGGGGACCTAGTGAATGACCTGCAGAGAGCTGGGACCAACGTAACAAAGGCTACCATCAGTAACACACTACGCCGCCGGGGACTCAGATCCTGCAGTGCCAGACGTATCCCCCTGCTTAAGCCAGTACATGTCCGGGCCCGTCTGAAGTTTGTCAGAGAGCATTTGGATGATCCAGAAGAGGATTGGGAGAATGTCATATGGTCAGATGAAACCAAAATAGAACTGTTTGGTAGAAACACAACTCGTCATGTTTGGAGGAGAGAGAATGCTGAGTTGCATCCAAAGAACACCATACCTACTGTGAAGCATGGGGGTGGCAACATCATGCTTTGGGGCTGTTTCTCCGCAAAAGGACCAGGACGACTGATCCATGTACAGGACAGAATGAATGGGGCCATGTATCGTGAGATTGTGAGTGCAAACCTCCTTCCCATCAGCAAGGGCATTGAAGATGAAACATGGCTGGGTCTTCCAACATGACAATGATCCCAAACATACCGCCCAGACAACGAAGGAGTGGCTTCGTAAGAAGCATTTCAAGGTCCTGGAGTGGCCTAGCCAGTCTCCAGATCTCAACCCCATAGAAAACCTTTGGAGGGAGTTGAAAGTCTGTGTTGCCCAGCGAAAGCCCCAAAACATCACTGCTCTAGAGGAGATCTGCATGGAGGATGGGCCAACATACCAGCAACAGTGTGTGCCAACCTTGTGAAGACTTACAGGAAACGTTTGACCTCTGTCATTGCCAACAAAGGATATATAACAAAGTATTGAGATGAACTTTTCATATTGACCAAAATACTTATTTTCCACCATAATTTGCAAATAAATTCTTTCCAAATCAGCCAATGTGATTGTCTGGATTTTTCTTCTCATTTTGTCTCTCATAGTTGAGGTCTACCTATGATGCCAATTACAGGCCTCTCTCATCTTTTAAAGTGGGAAAACTTTTTTGGTGCACAGCACAGCCATCCAAAGCAGTGTGATTTCAGTGAAGCACACTGACACCACCCCCTATTAAACCACTCCCTGCACACAGTTAACCCTTTGATCATCCCTCATGTTAACCCCTTCCTGCCCAGTGCCATTAGTACAGTGTCAGTGCTTTTTTTTAGCACTGATCACTGTATTGGTGTCACTGGGAATGTCAGTGACACCAAGTCAGTTCCCCTCAGTTTCGGAATGTCCACCGCAGTCCCACAGTCCCGCTATAAGTTGCTGATCGCCACCATTACTACTAAAAATAAAAATAAAAATTCCGATATCTATACCGCCATTTGAAAAACGCTATAACTTTAACATAAACAGATTCATTTACATGTATTGGGGGGTTTTTTTCAGCAAAGACACGGAGCAGAATACATTTTGGCCTAAATTTTGATGAAATTTGATCTTAACATTTTTTTTTTATTGGATGTTTTATAGCAAAAAGTAAATCCTCTGGAGGGCAAATGGTTAAGGAAGGCTCATAACAGTAACCTGTCCCTACACTGACCACACGCAAAATGCTCTCCAAGTCTGGGAGCCAGTCTTACTAAACCCGGGACTCTGTATTCACTATATCTGATCTCCCTGGACCCTGCATTCACTATATCCGCTCTCCCGGACCCTGCATTCACTATATCCGGTCTCCCCAGACCCTGCATTCACTATATCTGGTCTCCCAGGATCCTGCATTTACTATATATCCACTTTCCCCGGACCCTGCATTCACTATATCTTCTCTCCCCGGACCCTGCATTAACTATAGCTGGTCTCCCTGGACCCTGCATTCACTATATCTGGTCTCCCAGGACTCTGCATTCACTAAATCTGCTCTCCCCAGACCCTGCATTCATTATATCTGGTCTCCCCAGACCCTGCGTTCACTATATCTGGTCTCCTAGGACCCTGCATTCACTATATCCTCTCCCCCCAGACCCCGCATTCACTATATCTGGTCTCCCAAGACCCTGCATTCACTATATTTGCTCTCCCGGACCCTGCATTCACTATATCCGTTGCATGACCGCGCAATTGTCAGCTAAAATAACGCAGTGCCGTAGCGCAAAAAATGGTCTAGTCAGGAAGGGGGGGGGGGGGGGAATCCTCAATGATTGAAGGCACAGTTTTTGTTTTCATAACAAACATGTCACTCTTACCTGCTCTGTTCAGTGGTTTGGCACAGAGGAGCCCCAATCCTCCTCTTCTTTGGTCCCCCACTGGAAATCCCAGCTCCTCCCTCCTGTTGGTTGCCCCAGACCAAACAGCTTGCTATGGGGGCACTTGAGCAGGTGCGCCCCTGAGCCACTGCTCTGTGTGTCCAAGAACACACTCCGCCCCTTCTCTCTGCTAATTGGCTCACTTGCTGTCATTGACAATGGAGAGGGCCAATGGCTCCCTTGGCTGTCTCGGTCAATGAGTAGGGAGAGTCCTCAGCAGGCCAAGACTCTTGCGGACATTGCTGGATCATGATGGGGTTCAGGTGAGTATTGGGGGGGCTTCTGCACACAGGTTTTTTACCTTCATGCATAGAATTAGAGATGAGCGAAGAAATGAAAAATTTGATTCGGCTGATTCGGCTGATTCGGCGAATTCCAGTATGAAATTCGATTCGATGTGAATTTCTCCGCTACGAAGATGACTTATAAAAAGGGTTTCTAGGCTTCAGAGAGCCTTTAAATTAGTGCAGAACACTGTACCTTTAATTTAAATGCCCTTGGAGATGAGGAAGGAGAAGGAGAAGGAGAAGGAGAAGGATGAGAAGAAGGAGAAGGAGAAGGATGAGAAGAAGGAGAAGGAGAAGGATGAGAAGAAGGAGAAGGAGAAGGATGAGAAGAAGGAGAAGGATGAGAAGAAGGAGAAGGATGAGAAGAAGGAAGAAGGAGAAGGAGAAGGATGAGAAGAAGGAGAAGGAGAAGGATGAGAAGAAGGAGAAGGAGAAGGATGAGAAGAAGGAGAAGGAGAAGGATGAGAAGAAGGAGAAGGAGAAGGATGAGAAGAAGGAGAAGGATGAGAAGAAGGAGAAGGATGAGAAGAAGGAGAAGGAGAAGGATGAGAAGAAGGAGAAGGAGAAGGATGAGAAGAAGGAGAAGGAGAAGGATGAGAAGATGGAGAAGGAGAAGGATGAGAAGAAGGAGAAGGAGAAGGATGAGAAGATGGAGAAGGAGAAGGATGAGAAGAAGGAGAAGGAGAAGGATGAGAAGATGGAGAAGGAGAAGGATGAGAAGAAGAAGAAGGATGAGAAGAAGGAGAAGGATGAGAAGAAGGAGAAGGAGAAGGATGAGGAGAAGGAGAAGGATGAGAAGATGGAGAAGGAGAAGGATGAGAAGATGGAGAAGGAGAAGGATGAGAAGAAGGAGAAGGAGAAGGATGAAAGAAGGAGAAGGATGAGGAGAAGGAGAAGGATGAGAAGAAGGAGAAGGATGAGAAGAAGGAGAAGGATGAGAAGAAGGAGAAGGAGAAGGATGAGAAGAAGGAGAAGGAGAAGGATGAGAAGATGGAGAAGGAGAAGGATGAGAAGAAGGAGAAGGATGAGAAGAAGGAGAAGGAGAAGGATGAGAAGAAGGAGAAGGATGAGAAGAAGGAGAAGGAGAAGGATGAGAAGAAGGAGAAGGAGAAGGATGAGAAGAAGGAGAAGGATGAGAAGGATGAGAAGAAGAAGAAGGAGAAGGAGGAGAAGAAGGAGAAAGGAGAAGGATGAGAGGAGAAGATGAGAAGAAGGAGAAGGATGAGGATGAGGAGAAGGAGATAAGGATGAGAAAAGGAGAAGGATGAAGAAGGAGAAGGAGATTTGATGAGAGTGGGAAGGAGGATGAGAGGATGGAGAAGAGGAGAAGGATGGAGAAGGAGAAGGATGAGAAAAGGAGAAGATTAGGGATGATGTAAGAAGGAGGAGAAGGATAGAAGTGTAGGAGTTTGTGATGAGAAGTAGAAGGGATAAGATGATGGTTAAAGGTGGGTTTGAAGGAGAAGGAGAGGGAAGGGATGGGTGTGAGAAGGGAGTTGGATAGAGGATGAAGGAGAAGGAGAAGGAGATGGAGAAGAAGGAGAAGGATGAGAAGAAGGAGAAGGTATTGAAGGATGGAAGAAGGTTGAAGTATGAAAGTTTGAGAAGGATGGAGGATAGAAGGAAGAAGGAGAAATGAGAATGGGATGGGGAAGATGGGAAGGAAGGAGAAGAGAATGGATGGAGATGAGTGGGGGAAGGAGTGGTGGTTTGGTGAAGGATGGGATTTGAGATGTGTTGGTGAGAGAAGGAGAAGGATGGGAAGGGGTTGTTGAGAGAGATTGTTGTTGGGAATGGTGGGGGTGGAGGGGGGTTAGAGAGTGGTGGGTTGAGTGGGGGGGTGGGTGTTGGGGGTGGTATGGTTTGTTTGGTGTTGGTGTGGGGTAGTTAGGATTGGTGGGGTTTGTGAGGTGGGTAGGGGGTGGGTGTTAAAAGGTTTGTTTGAAGGGTAGTAAAGTTGGGGTTGGTTTTGAGAATTTGGGAGGTGGTTGGGGTAGTTTTTGGGGGGTGTTGGATTTTTAGAAGAAAGGGTTGGGGTTTGGTGGGGATTGGTTAGTTGTTATGGTGTATTTTTTAGGAAGATTGGTGTTATGTGGGGGGGTTGTTTGGGTGTTTTTTAGGTTTTGGTGTTGAGGTTAGGAGATTGTTGAGGGTTTTTAGTTTGTTGAGAAGGGTGAGGGGGTATTTTGTTGTATGGATTGGAGAAGGATTTTGAGAAGATGGAAGGTATGGGTGGGGGTTATTGGTTGGGATTTGGAATTGTAGTTGATTGGTTGTTGGTTTTGGAGTTTGTTGAGGTGGAGTGTTGTTTGTTTTAGGATTTTGGGTTTGTTTGGGGGGGTTTGAAGGATGAGTTTGTTATGGGTAGGAGGGTGTTGAAGGAATGGTTAAAGGGGAGGTTTTGGATGAGTTGGTTGGGGGGGTGTATTGTTGGGGTTTGGTTGGAATTTTGTGTGGATTTTTGGGGTGTTTTGAATGGGGGGGGTTGGGAAGGAGAGTGTTGGGTTTGGTGTTGATGAAAAGGGTGAAGAAGGGGTTGTTGATTTGATGGAGAATGATGGTTTTGTATGGTTAGTGGTGATTGGTTGGATGTTTGGTTTGGATAGTTGTTGGTTTGTGTTTGATGTTGTTGGTGTTGTGGTTTGAGAACAAAGGGTGTTGGTGGTGGTAGGTGGGGTGGTGGTGGTGTGGGTTGTTTTTGTGAATTTGTGAGATGTATGGGGTGGTTGGGTTTTTTGTGGGTATCCATAAATGGATCCATTTATGGAAACAAATAGATACAATGTTTCAACCGCTGTATGGAAGGACAGTCCCAGAACTGTCATTAATAGTCTATTTCTGACAGTTCTATGACATTCCCTCCATACAGCGGTTGAAACCGCTGTATGGAGTGAATGTCCCAGAACTGTCAGAAATAGTCTATTTCTGACAGTTCTGGGACATTCCCTCCATACAGCGGTTTCCGGCAAAAAGTGTATGTGCAGAGTTCCTCTATTCTGCAGATACACTTAGAGGAGTGCAGATACATTAGAGGAGCTCTGCACATACACTTTTTGCCGGCTTGGAATTATTCTTATTTTCATCCTACTTCTTCTTCTTCTTCTTCTTCTTCATCCTCATCCTCTTCTTCTTCTTCTGAGGATGAGGATGAGGATGAAGAAGAAGAAGAAGAAGTAGGATGAAAATAAGATTAATTCCAAGCCGGCAAAAAGTGTATGTGCAGAGCTCCTCTAAGTGTATCTGCAGAGCTCCTCTAAGTGTATCTGCAGAATAGAGGAACTCTGCACATACACTTTTTGCCGGCTTGGAATTATTCTTATTTTCATCCTATCCTCTTCTTCTTCTTCTTCTTCATCCTCATCCTCATCCTCTTCTTCTTCTTCTGAGGATGAGATGATGAAGAAGAAGAAGAAGAAGTAGGATAAAAATAAGATTAATTCCAAGCCGGCAAAAAGTACATACACTTTTTGCCGGCTTGGAATTATTATCTGTATCCTAAATGTAAACTAATAGATACAATGTTTCAACCGCTAAACATGTGTTCCTTCTGTCAGAGAACTGTCAGAAATAGCGGAGCTCACTGCAGGGACACTTTTGCCGGCTGATCGGGAAATGTTCGATTCGCGCACCGAAGTAGGCAAAATTTCGGATTCAACGCAAATCAAATATTTCCTGAAATTCGACTCGAATTCCGGTTCGCCTGGTTCGATTCGCTCATCTCTACATAGAATGTATGTATGAAGGTAAAAAACCTTGAGCCTTTACAACCAGTTGAATGTTTGTAGTCATTCCCTATAACTGAGGTGCTTCAGCCCCCATTATTGGCTTTGTTGTCCTTCTCTGGACTCTCTCCAGTTTCAATCACATCCTTCCTGAGAGCTAGAAACCAGAACTGGAGGGCATACTGGAGATGTGGCCGAACTAGAGTTTTGTAAAGTGGCAGAACCATAGCTTTACCTCTTGAGTAAATTCGCTTTGTAATGCATGCTAATAGTCTGCTGGCCTTGCTTGCTGCAGCTCAGCATTACATGGTATTGCTGAGCCTGTGATCTACTAGGACCCCCAGTTCTTTTTCCATCCTGGGCTTCCCCAGAGGTTCTCCCCCTAACAAGTAACTTACATTCATAAATTTTAGCCCCCAAGCGCATTACTTTACATTTTTCAATGTTAAACCTCATTTGACAGGCAGTAGCCCACCCCTTAATTTTATTGAGGTCTTCCTGATAGGTTTTTATAACCTGCTGTGAAGTTTTTGCTCTGCTTAGCTTTGTATCATCAGAAAACACTGAGATTTCATTTTTTATACTATCCTCATTATCATTTATGAACAAATTAAACAGTTAAGAGCATTATAACAGACTTTGAGGAAGCACTGCAGCTGTCCTCCACTGGAGAGA